TTATAAAATAGAATTAAAATTTATCAGGTGGTGCTCACATACATGCAGGCTTCTGTGTCGCCATCTCACCGGACGAGTCCATCTGGTCACCTTCCAGGACTGTTCAGTTTCTGCTGTTGGTGGCTCTGCTGTTACTGTGGTGTTGCATTGCAGCTGGGAGTATACCTTGGATGGTTCTTTGGAGAAGAGAGCATTTATCTTCTTGGCCTCTGCTTCTCTAGTGTATTTCCTTAGCCTGGCAGCTAGTGCTATAAGCCTTTGTTTAGCAGTCTCTAGGGCTTCAGATGGAGTCAGGCCCTTGTATCTTTTTCAGTAGCCGAGTTTTACCTTTAATCTCTACACCCTTCTGTAGTTCTAACAGATGACTAACTTCTTTCCAAGTTGCCTTGATCTTAGCCTCCAACCTCATTTTCGGGGGTGGTGGTGTATGTATTACTGTTCTTCTTGATTGTGTAGCCAAGCATCTCCAGGATGACAGCAGCTGTAGTGCATACCAGTTCATTGGTTTGAATTATGGTGGTAGTAGGGATTACTGTGAGGGCTCTGTTGGCATCTTCTACCATACTATCTGATGGTACTTCTCCAATGAGCCTTGGTAATCGGTCTCAAGGGTTGACTGTAGCTAGTTTATCCATTATCTTATGCCTCATACCAGCTGCTGTGCTCTGTAATGGAGGGAGTAGCAGTGATACACATCCAGTTGTTCTTCCAGGTCTTCTTGTGTCCAGAATGTAATGTATAGTTAGTCTATCTCAAGCTGTGAAAGCAGCTTTCTGTTCACTATGTTGAAGCACTGGGAACTGTTTCTCAATGTAGATGCACATCTTCTGTCCATCCTTAGTTCCCTCAAACGTTTCATATATCCCCTCTCATTAGGTCTACTGTTGTAGTCGCATTAATTATAACTATAGGAGATGCCATAACTATAGCAGATCTCCAGGTCGGGATAATAATATCAGTTATTATATTAATATTAATAAGTATCAGGCTTGGTAAAGATTACAGTTCAAGTTTTGTATTTCACTTTAAAAGGTTCTACCTTTAGAACAAATCTCAGTACAATGCAAAATAGCTTCACATTTGATCATACTTACAAGCCTCCTTCTAAAAAATTACAAACATTTTCATCACGTTTTGATACTAAATGGAATGTTTCTCTGATAATCTGTTGTTGTATATCTTCACTCTGAAAAGAGAGGAAATACACTGATGTTTTCAAACACAAGCACTGCTCTGTCATCATACATAGCCATACAACTTTTGTAACAAAAACACTTATTGTTATTATTTATTAAATATGTAAGCCACCCAACTCCCAATGACTCTAGGTGGCTTAAAAGTAAAAAAAAAAAATAAAAAAACAAAAAGAGGCAAAAATAAAAGATTGCAAAGACGACAAGAACCAGACAGGAATGAAAAAGAAACAAACTCACTCAATCCATGGAGGCTTAATTCACATTTGCAAAGGGCCTGGGCGAAGACCTTAAATAAATAGCAACTGAAGAGTTGTTGCATTGTCACAGTTAATGTCAGACCAGAGCCAAAGAAACTTATGTTAAAACCCTCAAGAAGTTCACTGAGTCACTGTTGGACTTTAAATACCTCAGAATGCTGTTCAGGGTGAAGATGTATGCTGTACTGAGCATTTGGAGGAAAGTTCAAAAATAATAATTTATTTTTATATTATATAAAATTATATATTACAACCCTAATGAATCAGATTTTTCCCTCCAGTACCCAAAATTGTTCCAGTGTTGGGGAAATCCTTTGGAATAGATCTGATATAGTGATTATCAAGCAAAGGAAACTTCTATTGCAGACTTCTTGATTGTTCTATTCAGTACTCCCCATCAAACCCCCATGACAAATCTTTTTCAAATCTTTTACTTTTTGGCACAGTTGCCACAGAGCCAGTTTTGGTAGCATGTCACAATAATAAGAAATTGAGCAAGATCAGAGTTTTATAAATACCCACTTTAGCCAGGATAGGTGAAGATCTATTATGAAAACCTTGCTCTATCTCCAATGCTCCTGCTTAATAATTCCTAAAAACCATTTTATTTTCACATGTAGCCACCCACTTAGGATGCTACCATACAAACATTTGTTAATCATTGCATATCTGTATTGTCAATCAGAATGAATGGGCATAAATATTCACATAACAAAACATACACATGTATCTTCATCATACATAGTATGTCACATGTAGGAAAAAAAGTAACTTTTCTATTTATAGACAGTGCCAAGTTAGATCAATTGAACAGAAAGTAAGCAACTCTTCTGTTTTGCATTTCTCTCCTTGGTAAGCATATATTTGCTATTATGTTTTCTCTCTCCAATCAGATACTTAATAGTAGCAAACAAAACACTCAACTTTCAATTTATAACAGTCCACAGAATCAACTACTGTATTATCCCAAGGCTGGCTAAGTATCATATATCACTAATTGGAAAAAGCCTTAGTTCTCAGGCAACATGAGAAGTTCACTGCATCCAACCAGGCTCACCTGTTTCCTATCTTACCTTTTAAAAAAAGCTTCACAGTTGTGACAGACAACAACCTTCATCATTCCCAAGGAGAACTGCAATCCCACATATTTGAAAACACCGCATTATTAGTACAGTGACCATACATCCTTTATTATAAAGGACAATCCTTTATTTCAGAAAGCTGTCCTATGGATGGATGGATGGATTTATTTATTTATTTATTTTCTTGGTTTTGCTCTTGAATTTTCCTTTGTTAATGTTATAAGCAAAGTTATAAACATAAGCAATTAAATGTTTTTATCCTTACGAACCTCTTTCAGATTTGCCCCTTTTTCAGGTTTGTCCTTTATTTTTTCCAAGAAAATATAGTCACTGCACGTATCAGTAACAACCGTTCTAACTCAGGACGCTCCCGCTGCTGCTACGGTTGTCCGTGCAACCGAAGATTTCCCGTTATCTTCCCCGCCTCTCGCGCAGAGCCCTGAAGAAGCCGCTGACAAACCCTGAAGAATCCGGATTACGCGAGGGAAGGGGGCGCCATAGCGCGTAAACATCCCAAAAAAGGTCTCCCACCCGTCCTCTCCTCCTGCAGCAGAACGGGGCTCCCGCTGCAGGGTGGGCGTCTTAATCAGCTGCCACAAGACGAAGGCTGCTAAGGGAGAGGGGGGCAGCGCCTTCCAACCCGCCTCGCTCGCGCATCGCACTGACTTCCTCATAACGGCGTCGGCGGTTCCCATCCCAGCCCTTGCCTTAGGACGAATGGACTGCGCCCATTCGCCCCATTTCCTAGGTTCGCCCTGAGCCATAAGCCCACCGCACAGGTAGGCTCGCCCGCCACGGAGGCTAGTTTAGGCTCCGTATGTCGTGCGAATGCAGCTCTTCCCTTAGCCACGCAAGGGCGGGCTCCCCCACACTCACATAGCGCTGGTAGAATTTGGAAAGCCGCGGCTTCCCATGGTTGTTGAAAATGAGGATCGCTTTGATCATGTTGAGGGCGAATGGGCCGTGCCTGAAGTGCCCCAAGGCGGCGCGGGGAGGGGGCTCGCGTACCCCACTCTGCTGCGCGCGACTCGGAAGAAGCCCCTCCCCTGCTTTCCTCTGCCCCGCCCCCTCCTTCTCGAAGCCCCGAGCAAAAGGCGCAGTCAGAGACGGAACCGCTCTGCCTCCACGCAACGGAAGGAGCACGTCATTTGACTGACTCGGGGACGGTGGCTGGAGAGGGACAAAAAGTTCGAAGGCTGAAATCACTGTCATGTGCTCCTAATGCGAATTGATAAAAGCGATCGAAGGGCGGTCCACCACTTCCGGTTTTGCGCCACTATGTCGGAGGCCGGCGAGAAGCTGGAGCCGGTGCTGGTTGCGTCGGCTCCCCGGTTTTCTCCCGTGGTGGGGGGGCGAGGGGGAGGTGGGGGAGAAAACTCCGAAAATGGGGGGGGGGGGGGGGGGGG